GTCCACCCCCACCCCCGCCCACGGCTGTGGCCCACGGAGTTCTCAATAATGTTGGTTGAATGACTTTCTTTTTTAAGTTCTTATACCACATCCTCATGGCCAGTAAACTTCATTTTAGATTTCCACGAAGGTTGAAACGGTCCTGCAGTCAGCTCCATGGTCAGGAACGGCCCTCTCTTATCTAACCAATGAATGCATTTATTCCGGCTGAGATATGAACCTGGGAACCTCACGATAACCAAACTCCAGCTCGTATTTGTATTTCACCTGGCTGGCCCCCTACATCTTCATACCAGCCCAGGACGTTGCACCTGGTCCTGATGCTCCCTCCTGTTGGACGTCTGCTCAGTCAATTCCCACGCCTAGTGATCCCCATGGGACGGAGTAGAATGGCCCCTGGGAGTTTCCCCAGTCTTCAGCAGACTGCCACACCTCTCTCCCAAGGAGCACTGATGGGTTCAAAGAGGAGCCCTGAACCCGGCCCTCTGGTCCCTCCTTTTCGTGTGACCTGTCTCGCCCCCTCCCAGCAGGGTGCCAGGCAGCTGGTGGGCAAGATAGTTGGTGGAGGATAGGCTGAACCTCGGAGTGAACCCAAGGGCTGCAGCGGTGCGCTCCCACATGGCAGGGATTGTGAGGAGGGCACACGGCCCCTCAGGGTTTATTTAGTTCTGTTGGGCAAAATAGGGTGAAGTCAGGGGGTTGGTTATTCGTCAGGCTGCTAACAGCAAGGTCAGCAGTTCGAAACCACGAAAGATGAAGGTCTCTGCTCCGGTAAAGCGTGGCGGTCTCTACAGTGTTCTTATGTAAATATTAACTGTATGGAATAATAAACCGCCTTTCAGGTGAGTTACAGGCTGGGAACCCTACAGAGGCAGTTCCGCTCTGTCTCTGAAGGATGGCTGGGAGTTGGGATCCATTGATAGCAGGGAGCTGCGATGAGTCAAAACTCTCCAGACGGCGCCTGCAGACAACAGCGGGCAGTGGTTTGCAGGGAAAGAGAAGCAGAGGTCAGGCGGCCTCGACCTCACACAGCCACGTGACTAATCCCCGGGAATGTTGGCCTGGATCCTTCTGTTAAGATGTCCGCCGGTGTTTTCACTTACAAGGATTTTTTGTTTCTCTGTTTGACTTGCGGTTGATCTCACAGCTCAAACACCAGAATGGGGAGTCTCTACTTCCATTGCAGGGAATACCCCGTTAGGTAGATTTTTAAGGGGCTCTGGTGGCATAGTGGTAACCCGTTAAGCTGCTAACCCAAGGCCAAGCAGTTCAAAACCACCAGCTTCTCCGCGGGAGGGAGAAAGACTTTCTACTTCCATAGACAGTTACAGTCAGTCTTGGAAACCCACAGGGGCAATTCTACCCTGCCCTCACTCAAACTCACTGACGCAGTTGGGACTCAAGAGTGGCCCTAGAGGGCAGAATGGGCCTGCTTTTGTGGGTTTCCCAAACTAACCGGGATAGAAAGCCCCATCTTTCTCCCCAGTAGCGGCTGGTGGTTTCAAACTGCTGACCTTGAGAGGCTCCCAGCTGGAGGCTAAGTGTGGAATGGACTCATTGGCAGGGAGTTTGGGTTTTCCTGGGTAGACTTTTGACCCTGTCTCCCCTCACACCCATTTTAAACACCAGCACAGAGGATGAAGAAGGCTGACTTCCTCCCTCCTGTGCAACCCAGGGCCCCGCCCCAAGCCCCACAGCCCAGCGGGAGGCCGCACCCAGCCACCCCCCGGGCTGAGGACCGTGAGCGCCCCAAGTGTCGGAGGCAAGTGGGTGTCCAAGGCAGGTGGCGACTCCAGGCGGGCGAGGGAAGCGCATCCAGTCGGGACGCCCCTCCGCCCTGGCCTTCCGGGCGTCTGAGCTCCGGTCCACTTTTGACAGACGGGAGCCTGCGCCCCGGAGCCGCGGCGGCGCCGGGTGGCGGAGCAGGAAGCCCGGACCCCGCCTGCCTGGGCAGGTAGGAGGCGCGGCGGCCCTGGGGGTGGGGAGGCAGAGTCCGGAGTGGCCCGGCTCCCTGCGCCCCACCTGGCGATCACCTGGCCCCCGAGCCCCCGCAGGCAGGGCGGCGGCCGCCTCCGCCTCCTTGCAGCCTAGTAGCCCGG